TTCCCGGGGCCCCCCCGGTTTTTCCAAATTTTTTTCCCCCCCCCCCCCCCCATGGATTACAAATAGCTGTCTGGTTGAACAGACAGCTATTTGTAATTCTTAGAGACAGGGAGTCTCTAAGAATGAGTGGGGGGGGTAATCGACTTCTTTTGGGGGCAAAATGAATGTACGTAGCTGAACATAGACAACAACATCGGTAGCCTACCGGCTACTTGTTAAGCTTAAAGTGATGTATTGATATTAGCTAGTCATCTTTTAGCTAACATTACCTGCATCCAACAGCTTTACTCAACTCAGTCGGTTAGTTTGGAGGGAAAAACTGTGAAAAGTTCTTTGCGTTTTGCTGGTTTGCTGCCATGATTCTAACAAACCTGCGTAGCTCTGCACAGCAGCAGCAGGTCTCCCTCACAGGTGTAAAACCAGTGCGAGTGTCGTAGCATTTATGTTGTGTTTAAAGGTGGCTCAGAAAAACAGGTTACCACATGTTAACAACGGATTAAACAGTTTTAACTGCTGATAAAAGTGACAGAGGACGCAGATATGGGAAGTGTGGAAGCCCCTACTGTATCAAATTGACATAGGAATAACAGAGAGTTGGCCATTCTAAGGTAAAAACTGAGTGCATACAGCGTTCATGTTTTTTTTTTTTCATCCATCCAAATGGCTTCCCGCGCCCCCCCTGCAATGGCCCACAGTTTGGGAACCTCTGACTTAGAATAAATTTGACTTCGCAATTTGACGCCTTGAAATTGGGCCTCTGTCTCTTTAAGAAGCTGATACTCTTACTGACACTGCGCCTTCATCACATTGTCACAATGAAGCACCTTCATGATTCTTTTTACAACCGTTATGAGTATTTGACTGACAGGTGGTTCATAAGATGAGCTCAACTGAAGCAAAATTCCATTAGGTGTTTCTTAATTGCTGCTGCTGCTAGCCTGATGGGTTGCCAGGCTTATAGTACACTGACATAAACCCTGACATAAATAGCAGCTGTTGAAAGACGTTGGAAAAGTTTAGAATTTTTCCACCAAAGGGGTTCCAGTGCTTAGAAAGATAGTGTTACTTTGTTCTTACCTGGTTTGATTTTGAATATAATATCTTAGTGAGCAGCTCTAAGTGAGGCTGAACCACTGGGTTTAAATGTTCCCATTTTCTGTTTGTATTCAGTGCTGCCTGTCATTAGACCTGCAAGTTTATGTGATAGTTGGCTACCCGGTGTAGACGTTTGTGGGTAGGATTGATACAGAGACTTACAGAAGTTGTCTTTGTCGTCATACTGAAATTTCTGGATTCCCACAGGCGGGTGGATTTATTGAATTGAGCTATTTTATGTTTATCCTCTGTGTCATCCTCAGGTGGGGAAGCGCTTGCTTGAGAAGGAAGTGCTAGACAAAGCAGACATGGTGGAGCTGCTGGGTCCTCGGCCATTCCAGGAGAAGTCAACCTACGAGGAGTTTGTGGAGGGGACGGGGAGCTTCGAGGAAGACACGAGCCTTCCAGATGGCCTCAGGGACTGGAACCAGCAGAGAGGAGGGGAAGCGGAGGAGACAGACCCAACCCAGGACAGACAGCAGGCAGTGTAGGATCTGAGGAACCTGGAGAAAACTCAACCAGCTGGACAGAAATATATGAAGCCACCGACTCTGTTCCTCTCTGCCTGACTGTGTGGTCCCCCACTGGCAACTGTTCAGATTGCCTTAAAATTCCCCATCTCTAGATCCTGCCACATGTAACTACGCCAGGACAGAACAGAGTGAACATGATGCTTTCTTTATTTATTCTTTTAGAAAATGTCTGTCCTCATGATAACGAGGAAGAAATACTCGACTTGAGGAATGTTTATGCGGCCAAACAAGGCTGAAATGTTTTTAGAAATGAATCAGATGTTTTTTCATTTACCTGGAACAACTCGTCTCACCGTTCTGCTTCACAACACAGCAATTTTCATTTGCATTTTACCTCAGCTTGGACTTACCATGAGGATATTTTAATTATATAAACTCTGCAATAATGACTGAGAGTTTTTTTTGTAGACCACTGTTGCAAAATAAAAAGAATAATAAAGTTTTGGTTTTCTGAAATTAAAGCATGTTTTACAAAGTCATAAAAGACAGTCACATGTGCCTGTAGATTTTACTTTCAGGTAGAACAGTCACATCACATTCTGCTTAGCAGAAGAAACCTGCTTTATTCTGCGATGTCTGTAGTTTCAGTGGTTTTCAAGATGTGAAGCAACTTGGTTAACCTTGTTTTGGTTAATAAGGTTAACCAGAACTTAACTTTGTTTTGGTTAAGTTTAGTCATTCTATCTTGGCTATCTTTAATGTCATCTGCAACTTGTAAATGTGATTGTGTTGAGGACGCATCGATGTGGTTGGAAATGGAAAAGTTTTCTGACTCTGACCTTGTTCAGACATATTCTCATTCAGAGATAACATGATGATGTTTTCGTAGCATCTCAGATCCAGTTACATCCTCAGACCATGGTTGACATTAACATGGCTAGGAATCAGCAGAGTTGTGCTTTTGAATTATTGCAGCTACAAAAAATCTCACTGTTGGCCATCTCTTGTGGAAGAGATGGCCACAGTGTCACTTGACAGTACCCCTCATTGGGTTGCTAATCCTTTCACAATTTACACAACATCCTGTTGTCATCACTGTAATCCAGCCTTTAATACAATATATATTGACTGTGTCTCAAAATATCAGTTAAGGTTGAAAGAAACTCCAGCAAACACAGGACCTACTAGGTAATTTAATGCCGTAGTTGCTATCTGAGTTAACAGCTAGCAACTACGAGATTATTTCCGACTCATCCTGTTGGTGCTAAAATAGCTTTTTCTGTCAATAGCTCTGTTTGCATTTTTTATAGGTTCAACTCAAGGAAGTCCACAGGTATATGCTGATACATTGATACTCCGTTGTGTTTTGGGTCTCGAGTGTTTCATGAATTAATAAAAACATTTCTAACGAATAAATAGAACTTTAAAAGACTTTTAGAAAGCTTTGTAATATTTAAAAAGGTAACAAAGAAAAGCAAAGGGAAATTAATCATGACTAGAGACTTTTGCAGTGGTGTGTTCCTGGTAACCTCTGACCAACTAAACTTTTGAAAACATGTTTAAAAGTGCACCTTTATTTTCGACTGAAAGATTTTTTTACAATGTAAATCTCAACGCATACACAACATTTCTGTATGAAAAAGCTACAAGAATGCTACATCTCTTAGTACAATGGCAACGTACCTGCACGCTGAAGCTGCACTTCTTAAACCTGACCAGCAGGAGGCAACAACTTCCCCCGCAACGAGTCAGCTCAAGAGACTTGGCTGCTGTTTCTGCTTCTTCATATTTTTGATCCGATATTACTTATTTCAAAAAATATTCTAAATTGAATTAAGCAAAAAATATTACAAATAAAAAAAAAATAGTCCTATATACCGCTAGCAGAGAAAAACACAGAATGCTTGTTTCAAACTGTTTTCTTGTCTTCTGGTGGATGGGATCTTTTTTCCCTGATTTATGTCCACTGGAGAAGGAGCACCGAGAAAAGCAGAGATGCAGCAAAGAGACGAAGAGACATGGAGATGGCAGATGCTCCTCCACAGTCCTTAGCATTCTCCTGGTGGACCAATCACACATTTTGACATTTTGTTAAAAAAAAAAAAAAAATTGCTAAAACACCCCCAGATTTTACCTACATAGTTGCTCAGCACTTAAAAATATAATCCTGCAACAACATTAAAATATTCATTCTCAGCGCTGACCTTTGGGTGGTAGGAGTGGCAGGACTCTGGACGCCTTCGCACCTTCTGAGATTTCATCCTGTTGCACTTCACAGTTGCGTTATGTTTACAGATATTAAGGAATGCTATGCACACACACAGAGGGCCGGTGCTGAGCAGATCTCTGGGTACAGCCGTAGCTACTGACAAGACGATATCAGAGATCTTGTTATTTATTTTTATTTTTTTTTTTATTTTTCCAAGACCTGAACAGAATGTATGCATTAGTTGGGAGCCATTTTGTTGAACAGTAGAAGGATATATTTAATTTCCTTTGGCTGCAGCAGGATGGGTCCAAACTGACGGGAGCAGTCACAGGAGGCTTGTGTAACAACCAGAACCAAGTTACTGTCAGGAACCTGCTGCACCACAAACATCCTGAAGCACACATGATGATGCCAAGTGAATTTAAAGCGACAAAGGCCCAATGTAAAGGCATTAAATCACAAAGTCAAATTTCTTTTAAATCATATTTGAGATATATATATATCAATCTTATAAAACACACCATAGTGACTTGAAAGCTGCTTCTTTTATTAGTATAATCTATATGCCACAAGCCTTAATCTCCTTATTCTTTATGTTGACAAAGATTAATAGGAGGCTGAAATTAATGTCTGGATCATATATTGAATAAAGGTCTATTTTTTTTGCTTTTAAGGACATACATTTTTTTGTATTTTAATGAAGTTATACCAGATTTCTTAAAAGCTTGAACAGTAATTGAATGCAAGCTTCAGAAATTCCAAATCGGTGATGTTGATAAGGGGGAAAAAAATAATGAGATGTTTAATTTTTAAGCATTTTTTTTAAAGTGATTGTGATTATGAGTTTTTTATGGTTTAATAAACCATAGATGAGTTAAACATAATCTTATTGAAAATATGTCTCTTAGAAAATTTTGAACAGAGATGAGTAAAAAAAAAAAAGCTGATTATTGTCCCATGATGTCCCATCAAGTTAAGCTTGGACCAATTTAATTCTTAACTCACAATTCAGAGGATTTCCCTTCAAAACTGTTTGGTTTTGACCATTGACAGACAACAATACCATTAAACATCTGCACAAGCAAATGTGTATCAATAAAAGCATTTAGTTCCTTTCAAAAAGGATTTCTGCAATAAACTCGCAAAGCTGAACTGCTTCTGAGCTCTTTATGGCCAGTCATAAATCATGTGAAGATGGCGATGTGCTGCAGAGCTGGCACTTTAAAAAAAAATAAAAAATCCTGAATTGTGAAATATCACAGTTCACAACAACACCTGCTATCGATGCAGGTGTTTAACTGCATCAACAGCAGCATGCATAAAATCTGAAGGCTCTCATACCATAACTCCATATTACGTTCTATGATAATTTATGACTTAATTGTAGGTTTATTCTTGGATTCTTGGAGCCATTTTGCTCAGCCAGACACTGCTGGGAAGCTTCACCACTGTTGTGCACTGAAGTCCCAAATATTTAGAAATATTTAGAATGGCTTTCCAGACTTATAGATGTCAGTTATTTTGTTTTTCATTTATTCTTAAATGTCACTAGATCAGAGCAAGATGTGTTGCTTTCTGAGATCTTTCAGTCTACTTCATGGCGTCAGACGGGATCTATATAAATAATTTCTTGATTGTACGTGTGATCCTGTGCTTGGCTAATAAGACTGATTCCAAAAAATTGTTAGCGCAATTTGATCCCTGATAAAAATGATCTGAATAAAGAAATAGGTCGTAAAACCAGGAAGTTAGTGGAAAGTTTAAGGGGTGTGGGTGTGTGTGTGCGCGTGTTAACATCCGTACTTCTGACAGCGTCCACACTTGATGAGACTGTTAGCCTCCCTGACCGATGAGTCATACATGAATCCGGGGTATGCAGTGTCGCAGGGCTGCAGTGCATCCACTTTCTTTTGCTTATGAGCTGAAAATACAAAAGCACAAAATGCAAAAGTTTACATTCCTGATCAGTTCAGATGAGATAAATTTATAACAGGATTTTCTCAGTAGTTGTCCTAATACCACCACACACTCAGGCATGTTGTACTCACATGTGTGATAGCCGGCTTTGGCTGAATGCATGGAAAATGGTAGTGACCACACAGAGTGAGAGGATGGTGTTGAAAGTGAAGATGATGATGATGATGATGATGATGATGATGGGATGATGAAAATGAAACAGTGTGTTGCATTTGAAAATGAGAGATAAAGCTGTCATATGACGAAACATAGAGCAAAAATATCACACCTCCAGACATCATGATTATCACAGAGTTTCAGATTGATTTGGGTTTCTGGACAAAAGAACTAATGAAGCAGCACCTGTCACTAACTATGAACGATCCCTATTTAAATGACTCCAGGAGCAACAGATGAACCTGACTCTACTGCAGCAAGACAGCAGCTGCTCACTCTGTCTGGTCCATATCTTACAGAGCCCCCTAGTGGATATGGGGGAAAAAAAAATTATTTTGCGTTCCCTTGCAAAAGAAAATGTTGCAGGTGCTATTGCGTAACCGCTCAATAAGTTTTGCGTTCCCTCGCAGAACTTATTGCGAAGGAACGCAATAAGTTGACAGTCAGAAATGTGATTTAAAAATTTTAAGTATACACATAAAAGAGACTATATTAATTATATTAATTCTTAACTCTGCAAAAATCTGATTGAAAATTGATTTATTCACTGCATGTTTACAAAACAATGTTAAAATGACTTAACTACACAAATGTTATCAATAAATCCAAAACAAACAAAGAAAGTACAACAATCATCATAAAGAGTATCAGAAAGAATTAAAACTAATCTAATCCTTCATATAGTTGGCAAAATACACGTGGTTTCACTGAATCTGCGTTTGGCTGCAGACTCCTCCAAATGCTTTATAGCTTCTTTATGCTCTAAACAGCTGCTTTAGCTTGTTAGAGCATAAAGCAGCTCTAGATGATCACAGCTATTGTTTCAAATTCAAAATAAAAAAGAAATAAAATCATTTCTATCATACATACATTCCAATTAAGCCTAGTTACCGTGCAGTGCATTCAGGTTAAAATTATTAAAATATTGGTTAGTTTTTTTTTTTTCTGTTTTAAGAAATCCAGCGGATTGCATTGAGTCATTGACTTTCTGCATTCACTCCTGGTCGTTGTCAGTAACTTTGTGTATTCTCAAACCACCGATGGCTGGTTTGAGAATACACAGCACACACATAAAAAAGAAATAGGACCTCTAATTCAGGAGTAGTGTGTTTAAGTTAAAAATAAGACATTAATGGCAGTCGCAGCTCTCTTATCTAGGAGAGAAGCACATCTGAGATGAGTTATGAGCTGGATTTAAAGGCTGGAGGGTAAAAGAGAAGATATGCAGTTAGTCACAGCAAAAGCTTGACCAGCAGCTTTACAGGAGGCCGGGCTAAACACTGAAAAACTGGACCAGCTGTATCAGAAAGAAAACATTAAGACTGCCAGACCAGATAAAGAGTAAAATACAGAGAGGACATGAAACTCAAAGTTGAAATAACAGCAACTAAAGTAAATTTGGAGACAAGCAGAACATAGCAGATCCAGGAGAAATGGTCAGTTTGTCCTCCAGCAGACCAGTAGCATAGCCACAGAGGTTAGCTACTATAACCGTAATCTAAGCTACAATAGCTATAATGGAAAATTTTAAGCTTAGTATTAAAACAAGACAGGGTGTCTGTGTCACAGACTAAAACAGGGTGGTGGTTCCAAAGCAGAGGAGTATGAGAACTAAAGGATGTGTTTTCACATTCTACTTTTAATAATTCTAGGAACTTATACCCTTATATTCTATTCTGGATTTAACAGGGAGACAATAAAGAGAAGCTAAAACAGGAGAACATAGAAATATGATCTTTCTAAAATTATAATCTCTAAGTTTCCAGTTCTGTAAAAGATGTGAAATCTTACCTTAAGTGTCTCATCCATCCCACCACAACAGCTATACACCAGTTGCTTTATTTTATGATAAATCCAGGTCAAACTGGTTTCCAATATGCGTGCAAAGAAGCATAACTCTGAATCTGCTCAAAGTCATAATATAACTATGCCTTTACTTCAAAACGCCAAACTCTCCCTGCTTCAGAAACACAGCAGAAGACTGTGCCTCAAAGTTCCAACTCACACTGCAAACATCAGAAAAAAATGTCTTGCATGGAGATTCTCCAATCACCTGACATTATGGGACTTTTTATGAAATAAACTCATCTTAAACTGGAAAAATGGATGTTTGGTGCAACATCCATTGCAATCAGTTTTATAACGCTTTCTGAACAAACTGACTTCACAGAGTTCTCATGTATAGCTTGGCATTTTTGGGTGAGTACAAACATTTTTATTTGAAATATTTCATTCAGACTTTTTCTTTGTTAACTGTGTTTGGGAGAGCTTAGAAATATACAATAACTGAGATTGATGATCATGTTAACTTCATCTTACCATCTACGAAATAGTCAGAGTGCCAGAGACCACAGAAGTTGAAGTCCAGCACAAACCTAAAGGATAAAACAAACACACCTTAGAAAAAAACAGTACACAGCAAATTTGGAAGTGTTCCATCAACTCCTACAGTACAACTCCTAAATTCAACACTTTGAAAGTGTCTATATTGGTCCACTCTGAATGGTGTAGAAGTTACACTTTTGAAAGTGTTATTTGTGATAGAGTTGAATCAACACTCATACTAGTTGAAATCAAACACACTTCAGTGTTAATCTACCCAACACTAGTGTATATTGTCAAAAGTTAACACTATGGAAGTGTTAATCCAACACAGAATGGTGTAAAGTATATATTCACATAAAAATCTGAGTTTTGAAATACTACTGGCATGGTATGCTGTGTTGGTGCAGGGGTTAAGCACAAACCACCTATGGAGGCTCTAGTTTTCAATGCAGCTGTCATGGGTTCGCTTCCCAGTCTTCCCCTTCTCTAATTACCCACTTTTTTTTGTCAATTTACTACCAAATAAAAGCCACTAGAGCAATTAAAACCTTTTTTTCCCAGAAACTGTTGGCCATCAATAATCCCCAAATTCATTTTAAAAGACATGCCACATTAGATGCTACAAAAACACCAGCACCAGTTGCAGTATGTAATCTACTTTCATTTCAAAACATCAAACAGCACTGACAGCAATATACAACAAAGGTCATTCATTCATGTCTCTTTGCACGGAAGGTGAAGTGTGCTTTGAAAGTTCATTGGAAGCAGCCATGGTCTTGGAATCACTGATGGTGAAGTGTCTTTGGTGCTGCTCTTGTTTTCGCCAAGACTTCCAGCCTGGAAGGAAAAACAGGAAATATAGCAGAAACATTAGGATAATAAATAAATATTTTAAAAAGAAGTGTGAACAAAACTAATCAGACTCACCTGTGTGTGTCACCGTCATATTCATTCAAATTACTCTGCCCACCTGGTTTACAAGATAAAGCATAAAAAAAGTCAGAAATAATTACTAAAGAAATTAGTCAGCTTATAGAAAAATTTTTTGGAGATCATTAAAAGTTGTGCCAACCTGTCTGAAGAAATGTGTTGGAGTCATCATAACATGCTTCAGTCACCAACATGACACACTAACAAAGAAAAAACATTTTGGCAGTTTTTAGATGTGCCACAGGTACAAAGCACCAGAGTCAAATGGCTCAATTAC